GGGGGGAGGGAGGGGGGAGAAGGCGCTGTTACTGCGAAACTTGTCCCCGTGTTGGCGTCCCCGCAGCCCTGGGGCCTGGGAGGTGCCACAGGCCATCCCGCAGGTCCGCGGTGGTGCCAGGGCTGCTGCTGGAAGGTGCCTTCAGCTCAGGCCGTGAGGATGCTCTTTCCAGCCCCAGCTGAAGATGCTTTAGCTAAAAGGGTTGAGACATACTGTCAAAAGAAGATTAAAAGCCCTGCCTAATTTCTAACTTCCAGGGACTGTTTTGGGTTATTTTTTTTTTCACTGCTGCTTTCCCAGGTGCTTCAGGTTGCTTCTGTGGTCTCTTCCCTTCCTCACCTGTTTCCTTGCCACTTGTTAAGATCTTGCTCCACTCTGTTTGTCATGGGCTGCTGTGTAACAAATAATAACCCATACAAATGCTGCAGGCATGACCACGTGCTGATAGGAATCCCTGTTTGAAGCCCCTTTGCCCATATATTCTATGCTTCCTCAGCATAGTGTGGATATAAGTAGCATACTTTGATCCAACTGTTGTCAGGACAAGGTAACTAACATAGTTAACTACTGTGCCTGTGTATTGAGCATCTTTCTTGTTGTTTTCCTCATACCTGAATAATTGCCTTCTTTAATAAATTCGATGACACAGCTGTCATTGTACATGTTATTTTAGGGATACTTGTATAATTATACTGCATACCTATGAACCAAGTTATCTGTTGCTACAGTGTAATTATACATTACAGTTGCATTACACAGGAGATTGTTAAATACCCTGGATGCAACTACTGTGTGGTTTTATCTTTTTTAAAACCTGCCTTTTAACTTTGGAAGGTTTTTTAGGTGACTGCAGCAGCAGCTGTGGTACAAATGAATCTTAAGAAATATATCAGAGCTAGTACGACCATGTTGGAAGCATTACACTTTAGATGATAAGTGAAAATTCTGATTTTTCTTGACTACTTTAGAGGAGTTAGAGCTCATTAAACCAGAAGACAGGAGATGACCTGTGCAGATATGGGGGAAGTAAGAAGAGGTTTGTCTGCCCAGGGTGATGTAAAATGGTAGTGCAGAATTCAGAATGATGGTGCCTCAGAACAGGTGGCCAATTCTGGGGCATCTCTAAAAACTATAATCGTTGAAGTGGTAGAGACAGTGGCAAACGATTGGTTTGGTGCATTGATTGTATACTGATTAAATTTTTACAATGAAATGTCCTCAGTGTAGTGGTCTGTGCTGCACCTTTGCATTTCAGTTGCTTGAAATGTGAAATACGGAATGGATGTGTGTCACCTCTGAAGTTGTTTCAGATGCTTAAAAGCCAAATATGGGAAGAGTAAGATAGAGAAGGGAAACACAGAGAGGAAAAGAGCTCACAAGTTTTTTTTGTTGTTTTTTTTTCTTAAATTCCTGTGGCTTTTATTCAGAGTTGCTACAGGAAACTAATTAAAACTACTGCAACAATCATTCTTGAAATGAATTAAATATGCCAGGAGTGGTAAGTTGGTTTTGCTTTTATTTAAATCTCCTGTGAGCCTTTTAAGTATTCTAATATAGCTAGTACTGAAGAGCCAGTTTATGTTGCGTACATTGTTTGTTGCCAAAATGTTCCTCCCCTGAAGGCAGTTGGATTCACAGCTCTGCTGGTGGAAATCAAGAGTGGATCAGGATCAGTGGATTCAATTTCAGTGGAGGTCTGTTACAACATTCCAACCAGTGAAGATGTGCCAGTGGCCTTGCAGGCCATGTCATTTTCATAGCGATCAAGAATTTGATCTCTGGGACTTTTGATTTGGAGTCTTTGGAAATGAATCATCTGCCTGGTGACTCAGCAATGAGTTGTAAACAAACTGTAGGAGAAAAGTAAGACTGCCTCAGCTGAGGCCAGATGTTAACATTTAGCTTGTCTTTCTTTTTAGCACTACAAAACAAAGTGGGTTATGCAAGCCAAAACCAAACCAACCAAAAACCCCTGCAGTTATACAAGACACCTGTATGTGTCTTCTCTGAATTGTGTTTCCACATGCTTTCATTTACTTAAACACAGGAATTCAGTATGATCTCAGTCTGCTAAAATGGCAGCCACAGAAACTGACTGTGCAAGACTGCTTCTTCCTTACCAGCTCTTGTCCCCTTGCAGTGCTTGCTTCACTGGTTATTGACATTCGGTAACTTATTCTTTTGCTGGGACTTCAGGCACTATAGCTTTGTGAACATGAGATTGATACATTTTCTATATTTTTTTAAAAAAGGTATTTTTCTATGTAGTCGGAACTAGTTTAAGATCTAGTTACTTTTCTGTTGTGGGAGAAACCTGAAATGGCATGGTTGTCTTTCAGGGACTCAACACTGTCATAAATGCGCATGGTTTTTACATTGTATCAGGGGGACTGTAGCTGTGGAATGTCGTGGAGTTGCTATCTTTAAGAGAAGAAAGAGCTATGGAATAATGACTGCTGTAATAGTTAACCAGGAAAAACCTTTTGATCTTGATATTTCCAAAACATAGGAGTTTGCATATGCATTTAGAAGCATAGGTGGTACATTCTGCTTAGGGCTCTGAGACCTTTGCCTTGGTGGTTATAGAATCATAGAAAGGTTTGGGTTGGAAGGGACCTTAGAGATAATCCAGTTCCAGGCCCCTGCTGTGGACAGAGACAGCTCCGACTAGACCAGATAGTGTCTGTTTCATTTTGATTGCTGGTAGGAGTTGATGTGTTCATGCACTCTTCCTTGCACATCTGTTTTTGGCCAGATGGAGTTGAGATGGACTTTGATCTGAGCCAGGGTGAACACTCTTGGCACAGAAGTATTGCCTGCTTTTGCAGTTGGTGAGTGGAAGTCTGTAATATTTTTCTTGAAAGTTTTTCTTCTGTATGATGGTGAAATCTTTTCTGCTTAAATATTTTCATTACCAGCAGTGTACCACATGGGAATGAACTGGGAATGATACATGAGATTTCTGTGAATATTAGAGCTGGATTTTTTTTTCACAGAATATTTAATATGCATTAAGCAGGATTTTCTTATATTAGAGTACATTTACTAGATTTCACCAGAGAATGCTGCTGAACTTCAGTATGCCTGAAATACCAGTTTTACAATGTTCAGATTTCTTGCCACCAACATAACTTGTCAATTCCATCTAAGTGTCTCTTACTGATCAGTGTTGCTGCATCTTCCATGAGTAGTCTGTCTGCCATTTTTCTTGAATTATGTTAGTTCAGCAGCCCTCAAAGCTTGCTGTGTAATGAGCTTTCACTTGCCTTTCAATTTCAGCAGGTAGTTGCTGGTTATAAACCAACAATATCTCAAAGTTATTCTTATTAGGGGAGGATGATGAGAGAAAGCATAATTGCTTGGTGATCTCCTTACCCTCTGGAGTAAAGCTGTCTAGTCAACCCTTCCACTTGTCTAGGAGTTTCTCAAATGTTGAAGTCAAGCAATTGGATAGGCTTTACTTTTCAGCCCTCCTTGTGAAATGTTTCTAATGTCAGTGCACTTGTTTTTCTGGAGCAGCAGCTGTGCATGACCAGAGCCTCTTGCCCTTACTTTCTACCAGTATGTAACAATACTTCAAAGCCAAACAGGTTTTTATCCCACTAGAGCTGTTGTTAACACCCCATGATAGTTTGGGAATTAGTTTGTGCTGAAAACCAGAGTACTGATCTGTATGGCTTCTATCTTGCTTTGAGACCCTTTCAATGATACTTGGATCCCTAAAAGAGCAGATACTAGGTGATGTATAAGTACATCTTTGCAGCCTCTTGGAAGTTAACTGGAAATAACAGCCTGTAAGTACAAGCCCATATAAATGGTTTCATGAGACTCATACTAATTCTAACCTTTAATTAAGAAAAAAAACCCCACAGCCTCCCCCCCAGTCTTGACTGAAGCCCATTTATTATGAATGGCTGGCAGTTTTCTAAGTCTTTTGTGATCATCCAGGACATGAAGAGGTTTTCTACAGGCTCATGTAGTTTAATCTTGTTTGGAAATAATTTTTATTTATTTATTTTTTAAACCTACCCAACTGCTGACTCTGGAGTGCCGTACTAAGTCAATGTGATAAAGCTAACAGCTCCTTTCAGTTTGTGGGTCTGCACTAATTTTTATGTGGAAAGGAAAACTTACATCATTGGCTTCAGATATGTTGTTATAAGTAACTTACAGCAATGTTCATTTATTTAAGTATTGAAGCTGAATCATCTTTTAAAAGAGTTTAAAAGCCTTTTTTATGACTTTTCCCAAACTTATGTAGCCATTATGAAGGATTTTGGTGGTTATTTTTCTTACCTTCTGGTCCATGCTGTAATTGGTGTGTGAAGTCCCTTTGCTCTATAACTGGCTGCTTGGAATTTTGTAGTTTATCATTCCTATTAGTTTAAATAAAATTTTCCCAATTGATGAGAGTTGTGACTAACAGCTAACTGACTGAAAAGAGGTTAAGAAAAGTTTTTGCTTTAGGTTGATGTTTCATTATACTCAGGCCTGTGAAAGGGTGGTATTGCACTTTGCTGTGTTGCGTAAAGATGCTGTGGTTGGAAATGAAGGAGAGAGTCAATGAGCTGTGGCCTGTGATAAAAAAAGGGCTTATGAAACATCTGGAAGTTGTGCAGACTATTAGAAAACTAGAAGTAGCTGGTAAGCCAGGTTAGAAGTATATATCTAGTGACATTTGTACCTTCAGCAAGTTTGCCGATGACATCAAGTTGTGTGGTGACATGCTGGAGGGAAGGGATCCATCCAGAGGGACCTGGACAGGCAGGAGAGGTGGGACTGTGCAAACCTCATGAAATTTAACAAGGCCAAGTGCGAGGTCCTGCACGTGGATCGGGGCAATCCCAAGCACAAATACAGCCTGGGTGGAGAATGGACAGAGAGCAGCCCTGAGGAGAAGGACGTGAGGGTGCTGGAAGAAGCTTGACATGAGCCGGCAGTGTGCGCTGGCAGCCCAGAAACCAACCGTGTCCTGGGCTGTGTCTAAAGAAGTGTGACCAGCAGGCTGAAGAAGGTGACTCTCCCCCTCTACTCCCACCTGGAGTGCTGTATCCAGCTATCTGACCCCATAAATAAGAAGGGCGTGGACCTGTTGGAGCAAGTCCAGAGGAGGCCATGGAGATGGTCAGAGGCTGGAGCATCTCCCCTATGAGGACAGGCTGAGAGAGTTGGGGGTGTTCAGCCTGGAGAAGAGAAGGCTCCGGGGAGACCTCAGAGCAGCTTCCAGTGCTGAAAGGGGGCTACAGGAGAGATGGGGAGGGACTCTGCATCAGGGAGTGGAGTGAGAGGACAAGGGGTAATGGGTATAAGCTGAAAGAGGGAAGATTTAGATTAGATATTAGGAAGAAATTCTTTATTGTGCGGGGGGTGAGGCAGTGGCCCAGGGTGCCCAGAGAAGCTGTGGATGCCCCATCCCTGGAGGGGTTCAAGGCCAGGCTGGATGAGGCTTTGGGCAACCTGGGCTAGTGGGAAGTGTCCCTGCCCATGGCAGGGGTTGGAACTTGATGATCTTTAAGGCCTCTTCCAGTCCTTAGCTCTTCTGGCTTGCCGAGCAGTGACGTGAGCACTAGTGTTCATAAAAGGAAGGGAGGTGTTGGGGTGTGGCTGGGCCAAGGTGGAGGATAGTAAAGCTCTGGCTCTGGTGGTGCTTTGCCTTGGGAAGTTGACTGCAGAGTAGCACCCAGATAAAGAGGAAGCTGTGAAGGGAGGCAGAGGAATTTGGAAAACCAACTCAGGCTGATAATTTGGAATTCAGAGCCGGAGGGTAAAACTACTGTAGCACCAGTTCCGCTTCCCGTCACTGTTTGGGTACTAAGAAGTGATGAAGGGATTGTAGAACAGGTACTTGCAAAGCAGCATACTGCTCCCCACTGAGCACACAACCCATTGTTTTAATTTGATCCTAAGCAAGAGCTTTTTGGTTTTCCTGCGTTTGTTGGGGAAGTGTGAGCTCAGCTCATTTCTTGTTTTAAGATACAAAGATTTTTTTTTTCCCCTGGGGGTGGTTTATCTGAAGTTACATTAAAGTAATTGTGGCAGTAAAACAGAGAATGAGTTAATAAATAACAGAATCTGTCCCTTTTGTGTTCTACAAGTGACTATCATAAGGCGTACTCAGCTCTTCCCAGAGTGTCTGCCTCATTTCAGGTATAAGATTTACAGTGCTAAGTACATGAGATACCTAGTAAAAAGCCACTTTGCTCTTAGAGATAACCAGTGTAGTTACTTTAAACCATTTGTATGCCATGGAATTAGCTGCCATGCAACCGTTAATTGATCTTTGCAGCATCTGTTTGTCACAAAGTGGTGAACTGCTTGGGAGTTCCTGTACAGCTCCTGGTACTGATGCTGGCTCCTGACTGTGTCTATGACAGCACTGTCTGCTTGAGCTGTGGAAGGGAATGGACCTCAAGCTATTCTCATAAGAACTTTTGTGTTACAAACTTGCAGTGTCTTAAAACTATAAAATTTTAAAAAAATATTGCTGTTAAATGTAGGCAATAAAATATTTATAAATACTATCTGAAATGTATTATAACGTAAATTTAACAGGCACTACAGCTTTGTTTGCAACTTTTCAAACCTCTTTTTCAGTCAACAACCCTACAAGACTTAGGGACTTCCAGGCATTTTTTTGCTGGAAGGTTCTGAAATAGCAGAAATGACATTAAACAGAAACTAGGTATTTCTTCTGTTTATGTGTATAAACCCATCAGTCTGCAGTCTGCTCCTAAAAGTCCTGCTACATAGAAGTAACTAGAGGTGCAGTCATCTTGTGCCAGTTCAAGACATGCCTTGCATCGAAGGGGCCGTGCTTGTCTGTCAGCTTTGCTCTGCTGTTGCTAGTGTTTGTGTGTTCTCCTGGACCAACAGGCTGGTCACTAGCCTTCCAAGAAGAAGAAATATCAGATTGCCACTTGAGAATTAGTGCTGGGACACCTAATCGAATGTCACTTTGTCACTTAGATTTTGAAATATTTTTCTAATGTTTGTAAGACTTGTGCAGGAATATTGGAGAGTTCTGAGTTCTGTTTTATCCAATGATACTGAAATCACTTCGTAAGGTTATTCTGCTGTAATTTATAGGTTGTTTTTTGTAAGTGAGATGCCGATGATGTTCTGCAGTGGGGCAGCCCTATTTCATTGGTGGTTTAAAAGTTATCTGTATATGTAAACAGTGAATAGAAGAATTATTAAGGAACCTTAAAATATTAGAGATTGGTGTTCTCTGTCCCTACAGCTCCAGTATTCTGCCTGTCCTTCTCTGTTTCTTTCTTACTTCCAGCGTTCTCAATTCCTTGTCCGCTTCTCTTCTGTCCACTAATTTTGTTGGACAAAATCTATACCTGCTTCCAAGCTGCTTGTGTTCTGACAGTGTGCTATCATAAGCCGGAGAGCTACAGAAAAGAGATCTGTTCAGGCTGATGCTGCAAACTTCGCCTTGGGCTGCAGTTCCCTGCCACTCTAAGCTGTCGATTTGCTGGCTGTTGCATTTCTCTTCCCTCATTTGAACTAACTCTCATGCTTGTCTGACCCTGCATGAAGCCATTTCTGTTTTCTTTGTCACTCTTGTCAGGTTAGTGCAGTAACCCAGTGGATGACTGAAGCGGCTTAGATGAGTTCTGAAGCACCATAGAGAAAGGGGCACGAACATGCGGTAGGGAAGAGAGGAGGGGCAGCAGCACCAACAGCTGCTTAGGCTAGGGGAATTGCTGAATTCCTTGGGATATTAATCATCAATTCGTCCCAGCTTTTTTTGTGGCAAAATTAAATGCAAGTCTCCTATTTCTGGTATGTGATTGAAACTGGCCACTTAGCTTCTGACACCAAAATGACAGCCGGGCAGTGATAACAATTCTATAGGCTTTGTTTTCTCATTAAACCGTACTAAAACACTTTGAGAATGCTGTAGTTAGTAGTAGAAAGATCAGTGTCACTATGTGCGAACCTCTGGTATATGTATTTTGTGTCTTGCAGTATGGTTCTTTTCCTTATCCCTCTGTTTGCTGTCTTATTACTGATATGTCACTGCTGATCAGCTGTTGCTGACCTCTAGTACGTGGCTAAAATGTCCATATCTTGCTGGACAGAGAAAGCAAAGTACAGCGGGAACTTAGATGCTACAGTATTGTATGTTGTGTGGTATAGTGCAGAGTTTAAATGTATGTAAACCAAGTGTATGACTGGCAAGTTTTAAAAGCTGAAAATAAGAAATTTGACTGAGCAGAATGGGAAGAGTGACCCCTCCAAGTAAAAGAACAAGGAGAAATTAACTGTACAAAGTATTATATTTGCAAACCCAGGTAGTTTGAGTACTCCTACTGACTGCATTAACTTTTGCTTTTCTGTGCTTCACAAAGGGAAGAAGTTGCCCTTTTGCTGGCCAGTGTCCGTGTAACGTGCAGCAGTTAACCCATTTGGGTCTGCAGTTAGGATATCTGAGGGGGACAATGTTTGTGTTGTCTGGCTGGCTGTAATGGGAACTCAGCCATTGCCAGTTCTGCTTGGACTATTTTTTGGCCTTTTTGGAACCAGTGGGCAGTAACACAGTGGTTTTGAGCAGCCGTGTATGTACTGTTGTTACCGCGGCTGATACATTAGGAGATAGGTGGGAGTAGGGTGCTATTGAGGATGTAGTTAGCTTGGGAGAAAGCTGAAAGTACTGCAGGGGAAGCAGACATAGGGTTGTGAGTAGCAGCAAGACCTGTAGTTACTGTGGAGAGAGAATGTGAAATGATACTTTGAAGGTCTGTTTTTCTGCTTAATTTTAAGGGCAGCACTGCTTTTTCAAAAGTAATTAAATTTTGTTCAATTTTTGAAAATAACTGCTTTGACTTTAATGTTTCTGGAACTTTAAAAGCTGTTATGTTATTGAAAAATTGCATATGCTTCGAAGTAGGTGAAATTTAGTATCTCCAGTTCTAGTAATGAATTTTAAACAATATATACCATTCACTTTAATTTCTATTGGTTTTTAACAGATTTTTCTTTTAATTTGCTTAAAACTTCTTTATGATTTTTTTCAGGTGTTGGGAAATCATGTTTATTGTTACAGTTTACAGACAAGCGGTTTCAACCAGTCCACGATCTCACTATTGGTAGGTCTTTCTTGTCCATGATTAAGTAGCCAGGGTACCTCAGCGTGCATTTATGAGTTTGTTGTGCTGCAGTAACGTAGGATTTGTATTATATTAAGGTAGCAGTGAATCTTTAGCTGATGAATATTTCTTAGCTAATAAAGCCAAGCCTTTTTTCTTATTGGGAGGGTACAATCTGAAACAATTTAAAAAATTCATAGCTATAGTATCTCAACTGTCTCTTCAGAAAAGCTAAAAACTGAGCATGGAAGGAGAATTGGCCAAGCTTGAAACACATTGATGGTGATGCAAATGGCAGATTTTTCACTAGGGAACAGAATAATGGTCTGACCGTAGAAACTTGAAGACGAGTTACAGATAAACTAAAACAGAGTTAACCTTAAAGATGAATAAAGAAATTTACTCTTTGGGAATACTAATTCTGTATAGAGAAGGATTGAAGAGTGAAGGTATTTGCTGTTTGGGAGGGATGGGTTTTTCTTCCTGGCTCCTTAATTGGATGTGGACCACTTCTCTTAGGTGCGATGTAGTAGTATATGAGTAATGTTGGGAATAAATTCTTCCGTAGGCAAGCTTAGTCTTCAGATCAGTTTCAGTGTTCAGCATACCAGATGCTAGCCCCTGATAAGGTTGCAGAACCTTTGAACGTCTTTGTTATTTCAAGGAACCTATCGGCTCTAATTGTTATGAGCCTTGTGCAAAATGTATCCCTCAGTCTCTATTTTTAGTTTGGGGCTTGGAATAGGTAGGCTTCCTGTGTTTGGGAGGACTGAAATAGACACCTGAAATATAAACAAACATTATGCATGTATCGGAATGTATCATTTCTCTCTTGACAGTCCTCCCACACCTTGTGTGTGGCTGTGTAATATAATTCAAGTTCTTAGGCTAACGCCAGTTTTCAGATATTTCTGAGGTTTTGGCAGCAGATAGGCTGGCTGAATAAAGAGCCTGAGTTCTTTAGGGAGGCATGAGTTATTGTCATCTTTTCTTCTCTAGGCCTGCCAAATCTGTGACACCTTATATATCACTTACGCCTTTGGCAGCCCTCACATCAGCAAACTGATAGGCTGTGGGAAACAGCTTCACCTCAGCAGAGAGGTTGCAGTGCCAGATCTTTGCCTGGCATATAGCTAGCTGAAATCTGGAAGCAGAGACTGAACCTAGTGGGATGAGAAGGTGAACCTTGGTAGCAACATAATGAGGGTGTAGGAATGGAGCATGGGAAGCCGCTTGAATAGGGGAAGAAGGGGCATAGGCTGGAAGCAGCCTCCTGTTGCTTAATTGATAGGGGGTGTGTGTGTGTGTGTTTTGGCCAGGAGAACGCTTCTCCAAAGCACCCAAACAGATTGAGAAAGCCAGGGATAAATTAAGAACATGGGTGCAAAGTCATAGGAATGGGTTGATGTTACCTAATGTACTGTCAACTGATGATGTTAGAACTCCTGAGAACCTGTAGATTGAATGAAAAGTCTTGTGTTACACAGCCTAACTTTTAATTTCAATATAATACAATGATTTTTAGCATATGGGAGTGCAGATTCTATCCCTGCTGTGAGCAGCTCAGGAGAGGAGAAGGGAAACTGAAATTGGACATGTGGAAAAAAGACTTTTCATCTGGAGTTGTGCAAAATTCATCCCCAAATTTTAGTATAGGTAGCCTAAAATGTTACCTCTAAGATCTATGAAATTCAGAGAGAAACTTTTACCTCTAATGAAAACAAGATGAGGAAAAAGAATATAAAATACATAGAAGCAGGTGTTTTCCTGTCTTTGAGCTACATTAATAATTGTGCACAATTGTAATAGTGTACTCTAAAAGAGCTTACAATGCAACAGTTATCTCGATTTATTTTTCATTTGTGAATTTAAGTATTTGTTGTTAAAAGAACTGAAGGAGGGAGGGAGAAGCTGCATGATGCAGTTGGTGAAAAAAATCAACTTCAGAGAGCATTGGCATTCACCTGCTTCCTCCTTTCCGCCCCTCCGTTCTTTGAACTTGTTTGCATAGGGTTACTGCAAGTTATTTGGATGCTAAAGAGAGCACAGTGTGCTTTGGCCATGGCTTTTCTTTGGCTCCGGTATCCTGTGTAGGGGTGAGCAGTTCCTCCCTGTCCTATTCTTCAGAAAGCAGTGCTGCCCCCCGACCCCTGGTGTTCTAAACAAGCTTTTGAAGAAATGTTTGGGGTACTTCACATCAGGGCTGCTTAATTTAGAAGACTTGAGTCCAAATCTAGACAGTGACCAATTTTAGACAAAACTTAAGCTGCCAGATCTTTATTTTTTCTGAAATAATGGATATGTGAAGCATAACTTAATGGAAACTTGATAGCCTTTAAATAAGTCCGCTACGTCTAGGCATTTGTCAGATTTTAACTACTGTGGTAATAGTTTCAATTTATGTTAAGTTTACTGTTAATGATCTTAAAATTGCTTTAAAAGACTGTACAAAAGGCTGAATTTTTTCCACTGAAGAAATTCCTTTTGTTTTTTTCGAAATACATTCATTTTTTCCCTCAGTTATTAAATTCGATTTTTTTTAAATTTTAATTAAATTTTATCTTCTTGAACATGACTTTTTCTGCTTACTTAATAGAATATTTTGTTGATAGAGAATTGTAGGTTTAATTTCTTCTAAACTGGCTTCAGCAATCTGTCATTGGTAGAGTGTTGAAATAACTGTGACTCTTCGTTTCGTATTTTTCTCCCTCTGATCTAGAGCTACTAAATGGTTTGTAAAACTTTGTAGGAAACACCTCCTTGACACCTGCTCTAGTTAATGTGTTTTTAAAGTATTTGGAAAGTAGCAGTTTTCTTCCTTCTGGAAAACTTTCCAGCTCTTTAAAGCAGCTGGAAAATTAACTAAAAGCAGATTGTGAAAGAGATTATTTCTTATAAATACAATGTTAAGTTAATCTAAACTTACATTCTTGCTTTCATAGTACTTGACATTCTTCGTTCTGATACATGCCAGTAATGTTATCTTTTGTAAAATCTATTCAGGTGTAGAATTTGGGGCTCGAATGATAACTATTGATGGAAAACAGATAAAGCTTCAGATATGGGATACGGTAAGTAATAAATCATAGAAATTATTTAAACATATGGCTTCACTTGCTTTCTCTTTGTTCTGGTTAAGCTCTCTATCAACAGCACCCATGTGGGACTGTGTACTTTGTCTTGCAGCTTTCTTTGGTTTCTGTGAAGATTAAAAATTTGCTAAAATTTCCTTTCTTGTTGTGATGTATTCTTAAAACAGTGCCAATTTCTGCTGTTTGCACTGTAACTTTACCTCCTGAAGTAACACTGTCAGATTTGCAAGGCTGGAATTTGTGCTGCTTCACTTTTCTGTGAAAGTTTTCTCTATTGTTAAGAAATTTACATTTCTCCAAATACTCTGTCTCTCTCTGCATTCATGCAAGGTCTGGTTAATATAAGGTCCTGTTGGGAAACTGTGGTGTGTCTGCTAGCTTTAATCAAGAATGCACTAGAGGAAATGTTTGTGTTTCCAATGTAGAAGAAAAAATATGGCTTACTGTTTTCATAGAAGGTAACTTATAACAATATAATCCTGAAGAAAGTAAATCAGACAATCAAGGAGGAACTGGTAAAAGCCCACCAAAAGACGGACTTTGACTTTTGGGGTGGTTCAGTTTAAGCACATCCACTAGTGAAGTTCAGGTGTTTTCTCCTTGTCAGTCACTTTCCCATAGAGCAGTCAGCCTCAATGTCTACACTTGGGATGCAGTGGCTTTAAGATGCTCATACTGATAGCTGTGTCTTTCAAATGTGCTTAACTGTTCCCTAAGGCAGGGTTGTCCAATTCCTTTTCCAGAAGCACTTTAGGATACCTTTAGAAACTGTTAGGTACATCATGTATGTGCTCTTTTTTGATCTAGCAGATCAATGAAGGGAGATTCATATATGCATGCCTACATACATGCATGTGTATATAAAAATGTTAACAAATTTTAGCTAACTTCTTAGGTAAGATCTAAAGTACCTTACTTATTTTACACGTTTATGACTTGAAATGGCATCTAAGAGTTGGGCCTCCTTGGAAGTTCTCCGTGAAAAGGTGTAGAAGCATGTGGTCAGAGCGTGCTTGCTTTAGGCTTTTCCTGCCCTGGGCTATTTTACTATTATAACTGTAGATTGCGGACTACCAAGGTGGCTGATCATTTTTAAGTCCAATAGACAAGCAAATCTCTCCATAAACAGTAGTGTCAGAAGCAAACTTCTTAGTACGTAATGTGACTACATGAGAATGTACCTACATTGGTCCTTGTTTCCTAAAATTGGGACAGATTCTCTGCAGACAAAATTACTGATTTTACTACCAGTGGAGCCACTGTCTGTCACTGGCTTTTGAAGTGATTTACTAATGTGTTACTATCTGCTCCTTGGATACAAGTGAACTTCCAACAATTTTTGAGTAGTTTGTGTTTTTCTTAGTGCCTCTGACTCAGTAGCTCTTTGCAATCTGTTTGGTTTCTTGAATGCTTGCCAAGTGTCCAATAACCAAAATTTCAACAGAATTGCTTTTGATTATAACTCACAAACTCTTCTTGGGCAGGGTTTTTTATCTGGCTAGCTTCCTAAGGATGTCATACATAAATTAAAAATCCTCATTGAAAACTTCCATACACTGAATAGATTGTATGCCTGTGTAGTAGTTAATAATTTAGAAGTTGTAAGCAAAGAATGACTCGGTGTATTGGCTGTAGTTAAAATTCTAACTGTATGCAATCTGATTTTTAAAACACAGGATACTTAATTCTAATCCTATCTTGGTTTGTAAGCATATATAAATTCCCCTGTCTTTGTTCTGATCTTGGGTGCAAAGGAGTTGAAGGAATAGCAAGATAAGAAACATAAAACATCTCTTGGCAATTACATCGTTACCGACCAGTGTTAAGGTGCACAAAGATGTCCGTAATGACCAGGGTTACATGTCTGTATTGTCTCTGCATTTAGTCTTTCCTGAATAGTTTTTTCTCTTAGTGAAAACTGCTAGCTGCTACTGGTGCCATCTCAATATTTATTCATCTGTAACAATTCCTGTTTGATAAGAGAAAGTTTGTTTTACACCTATGGTTAAGGAAATACAGGAAGCATTTCTGTTTGAGTTGGTGCTTACTGAGTCACAGGACCAACACTTCTCTGATTTAGTGCTAGCCCTACATACCTGCTTTTAATCAGTCACTGAACGGAAAGCATCCTGAGCAGAGACATCAGGGGAGAACTGGATGAAGTTTGTTTTGACTGGTTAACAGTGAATAAGAGCTTGCTTTCTAAGAGAATCAAACACTTGAATTCAGATTTTTCTGGCCAGGAATGTCTATGCAATGGCGCTCAGTTTGTGCTGCCTTCAGCAGATCACTGCAGCTCCAAGGAAAGGTATATCCTGATGATGGGAGTACATGGAACCTGCAGTATACCTCGCTGCAGGAGTATGTCACAACTTACAGGGACAGCTGGAGCTAACTCTGTGGCATGTCTGTGAGATCCATTTGTGTGCTCTGGTATTGTAGCCCAAGAATATTTGACTTTTTTGTTAGCGTCTTAGTTTGGATCAGGGGTGTGTTACAGAAGTTAGATGTACTTACTGCAGCCTGGTTTTCATGTGGGAGTATGCAAACGGAATTCCTTTCAGATGAGGCTGAACTGAGAGATATGCTCAAGGAATGCACAGATGCCCATTAGAAACTGTAGTCCAGTATTTGGTCCTGTGAGCTGGCAGTCTGGTGAAACTAGTCTGAGAAGAAAAAAAAGCAACCAACCAAAAACCACGCACCAAACAAAACCCAAACCAAACAATACCAAGAAAACCCCCAAACCCCACATTCCAGGAAAGGTGTTCATTGTGGCCCTTGCATATGTGGTGTTACATGTTGCAGTCCCAGCTCCACTGCTGGTTGTATGTGCCCCAGCAAACAGCCTGTCCTGTTGTTCTCTCCCAGCTGCAGGCTGCTCCTGATCCCACTCTGCTAGCATGCTGCTGTGGGTGCTGGGGCATGCCTGGGGTTTACGGCTGTGAGTCCTTGGGTGCCTGGGGTTTAGGGCTGTGAGTCCTTGGGTTTCACTTGTCATTTCTGATGCATTTGAGTCAGTCAAGGGAAGCGCAGGTATTGGGCCAGATTGTTCATGTCTCCTGTCTGTCTTTAGTCTCTAGATTATTTCCTTTGCTGTTTCTTTAATCTTAGTAATGGCTTTCAGTAGCTGGAGAGACTGAGAAATATCTTTGTCAAAACTGGTTGGTTGGTAATTGCCTCCTATGAGAAGTTAAGCTGCTCTCTTTGTGGAAGTGTGGTATTTGAGCTGGTGTCAGTTACAAAAATAACTTAGGGAACTAGAAGTGGTCAGCAGAAGCTGTCAAGGATCAAAATGACCATTCTGGGAGCTACTAAGCTTTATGGGTTTAAGCAACCTGTGTAGATGAGGTGGTTTGTCTTGTGACAGTGTAACACTGAGAAATATTACAATTGCTTCTCCTCGGAAAAACTGCATTGTTGTAGAAAGATACTGGGCTTGTTACCAGGCTGAGTCAGTAGCCTTCATTTTCTTGTTGAGGGGGATGTTCTGTATTGTATTGGCTGTTACTAACAAGGCATTGTTGATGAGCAAAAATAAGTAGTAGTTGAAAGAGGGAGTTTAGTTCTCTCAGATGCTGCAAGGGGAGAGATCAGTGATGATCCTAAGTGATACTACTTATGTTCTCTACATTAAATTCATATGAGTGAGAATTTTTCCTGTGTATTTAAATAAAATATTTTTAATCGCTATTTCTGCTTCATTTTATGGAAATCGGTGATTAAAAATGTTTGGTTTTTTCATTATTATGTTTTTATAACACCTTAGACTAAGGCTATGCTTGCTCCGACTAAGACTAAATATCTGAAATAATCTTTTTTTATAAGCAAATTTCAAGTAATTTCTTGGTTTTCATACAAGTGAGCTTTCTAATTAAATTGATAATATTTTCTAGTAATTGAGAGCTTGCACACAAAAGCGCATTTGTACAAGACAGGAGGCATAACTGTTGAAGGCATGTCTCTTTTCTCTGAAACCAGGGTGTGACTTGTCTGTCCACTGTCAGATATTCTGACTATACTAATCCTTCTTGGAAATACAGTTATTTTTGATATATTTGCAAATTGTTTGAATATAGTAGAACCAAATAAAGTTCCCTTAATTCATTTAATGAATATTCATTTCTTCTTAGTGATACTGGCAATTACTAGGATGTAGCACTCACCCCTGCGGGTTTTGTGCTAATTGTCTACTTCATGAGATTTTCTACTTGCTTTGGTAGTTGGAACCTATTTTTATGTTCACAGGCAGTTGGTGAATTCTACTAATTTTTTACTAATTTGACTCTTTAACCATTGGACCTGCAAGAATGTGGCTACATCTTACAGCTCAAGTTTTGATGACTCAGTGCTCACGCCCCTCTGTTTTACTGCTGTGAAGGAACGTCAAGAACTTGCAGAGGATCTGTTTTGGTTCCTGAAGCTAATCTGATCATCAGTTCAGACTGTGTAATAGACCCATGGTCCAAACTTCAGTATCAGTACCTGAGTTTCTGTTCACATCCATGATGTAGGAAGCTAAAGTAGCTTGATACATCTTCTGGCTTAGTGTTCACAAACCTTTGCCTGTCGTGTGCTTAAATGTATTTGGTTATTGAAATACTGTTATTGGTGTTTTATCTTCTGACTGGTTGTAGTGTTTCTTGTCAGTTTATCTGTGGCTTTCTACAGTAACAGAGCAAGCTCTTGCTTAGGATAACGCCTTAGATGGCAGGAGGGCAACTCACTTCCTTTTGTCCGTAGCGGAACTCCTATTTTAGGGAGGGTAGCTACTTAAAACCTAAAGTTTTCAAATGTATTTATAACCTGAACTAAATAATAAGGGTACTTCTAGTAGCGGAGGGCTAAAGCTTTCTGTTTGTGTGTTGGTAATTGCTTTGGATGTCTAAATGGCATGCACTGACAACATCGGAGGAAAAGGCATATGTGCAGATCTGTATTTAGACATAGGTACGGTTTCACCCTTGGGGGTCTCTAGTCCTCTTGAAATTTCAGTTCTTATATCCTGACAGGGTTATTCTGAAGCAATGTGTATCTTGGCTGAATCCTCCACCTAAGTTTTAATGTTTTCTTCAGTTGTTATGGATTCCTCTTCATCAGCATGTTTAGTTCTGCTCTTGTTTGGGAATGTCTTTCCTGGAAAGCAGCAGGGTGTTATCTTTTTTATTATTTTTATATTACTTTTATGCCTATTCTTTGTATTACATGCTAGTAAATCACCTTAAAGTTCTTTTTATTTTGGAATAGAGACATGATTGCAAGAAAGATTAATGTATTTGTATGAAGAAGTTGCCACTTGACTAAAAGGCTGTTAATTTATTTTTAACTTTCAAAACTCTATTCAAAGGTGTGTATTGCTCCTTTCTCTCTCTGAAACGTTTTGTTCCAGGCATCAGCTTTGTGGAGTAGTTCCGAACTGGCAGTTGTCATAGGTAATATGACACTGGTGTGAGCTGGTTGTTTCTTAGATGTCTTTTCAGTCTTCCATACAGCTGATGCAAGTGTAAACAAGTTTAGAAGATGAGTAATTCCCGAGGGGAATGAGGTGTTCAGTCCCTGGGTTTGGACATACCCCGTGTGCATACCCTTCTTAAGAGTGAAGCTGTCTAGAGCTGCTAGTCATGGTGCATTGCAGTTTCTCAGTTTCATGCAGATGTATACTATGAAGTTTCATCCTAACAAAAGCTATTGGTCAGCTTGAATGTTGAAGGTCTGCTGGGATGTACTCGGGTAACTTTGTCCTGGAAGAAACTTTCCAATTTCTTCAGCACTGAGAACAGAGAATTCAGTAAAATTAAAGGACTGCTGTTTTCTGGGGAGATGTGCTGTTGTGGATCCTATTTCATTGTCCAACTACTTCCTTGTACTGCATCATGGCTTTTAAAAAATTTTTCCTTAGTTTATAGATTCACAAATATGCAGTTAAGGAACTTGCTTTTTGACAGCAAAGACTTGCCTGCACATTTTGCAGCTGACACATATGTGACTATGCACATGCTTGGAAGTGACACTGATATTTGTAACACTTGGAGCCTCTTCTCAAACATGCCGCAGATACTGTGTCAATGGTAACACAGCCACATAGCTTCAATGTTCCTGAAACATCACTTCTTTATCAGAGGCCCACATTTTTTCATAGTTAGTGAACTACACACATCAGAGCTAGCACCTTTTTCTCTGGAGGATGCATGTTCAGGTCTGTTCAGGATGCCTTTACTGGTGCCTGTAGGCAACCTTGTCTGAGCTAGAGTTTCTACATGTGAAATAGCTGTCATGGTCTATATCTGTTACCAGAAAGATCTTCCATCTTACCACTTCCACTGCAGCATAACTGTGAAAGCAGGTGTAACCAGGAGTTGCCTTGGAGCAAAGGATTGTGTTGCCTGTATTGGATCTAACACAGCCTTGGGAAATATGCTGTGGAACAGTCATTTAGAGTGCTGCTGCTCCTGCTGTTCTGGGTCTTCCCTCCCCATCCCCAGTACACACCCAGTGCTGGCACAGGTTGCACAAAGAGGGTCTGGGGTCTCCATCATTGCAGATCTTCAAAAGCCCTCTAGACACGGACCTGGGCAGCGTTCTCGGAGTGACCCTGCCTGAGCGAGGGGAGGCGGAACATGTGCCTTCCGGAGATCCTTTCCCACCTCAACCATTCTGTGATTCTATGGGAAAAGCTTTCTAATATGGAAGAGGAAGGGGGAAAAAAAGTTCTGATTTTGGGGAAACATGGGAAGGATTGTAAAAATAATGGTAATAATGTCTTGGTTGAACGTGATTCATTTGCTCAGGGAGGCAGAAAATTTCCCATGTCAGGGTGGAATTTCTGAAGGTAAAACAGGCAATCTTGGTGTGGTCGGCTGAGCCCACTTCATGGGTGATTTTAGGCAGTACATGGAATACACTGGTAACAGCTTGTCTGTTGTCTAGTTAGGAGGGAAACGTTATATGCATCTGACATGCACTTGAGCTAGTCACCATACCAATAAAAAGCTGTAGAGCTTAGTGTAGCTTCTGGGTGGAGAATCAAGTATTGCGCTAAAAACTTGGGATTTTTCCTGTTCCTTGGTGCATATTGTCTGTGTTCTGTTACCTTAGGTTACAGAAAGATGCACTTGCACTCTTGGCCCAGTGCATGTGCTAGTGTAGTCTAACGGTGTTGGAATTATTAAATATATTGTCTGTCTTTTGTAGCTTTTTCCACTGGGATGGTTAAGATAGTGTGTTTTCTTAAACTGAAGGAACTGATTATTCTGGAAGATAAGGATGCTTTCTGGAGACTGAATGTCTCAAAACTTGTGGCCCTGTTCTTGTTCAATGACAGAATCTAGTTCAAGTTCTTCTTGAATTCAAGAAGACCTTATATTAAGAAAAGTGCAGAAACTCTGAGAAGAGAGAGTTCTCTGTACACTGATTTTGTAGGTAGGGTTGAAGAGTAGCTTGTATTTGATAAAGATTTAATTCTTGCTTTTCAGGGGGTTAAATCAGGGTAATTTCCTCTAGTTGTGCAGATAACTATCATACTGCACATAGGATTTTTTACAGCGTTATTATTAGCATTTCTTAATTGTGTCTTTATCTTTGAATTATGCTAAAGCTTCTCTTGTTACAAATTATTAGAAGGAAGTGTTTCTTCTAGCAACTGTCAGGTGCTAGATAGCACTTCTGAAAAACATGAGCATGGGGACCTCAAGGTCTGCAACTATGAATATTTATTTTTCAGGACTGTGTTCTTTTAAATGCTGACATTTGTGCAGAATACTTTGCTGTGAGAACTATCTAATTCATGTAGGATCTCTGAAGTTTTTCACCAGTGCATGTGAAGATGACTCTTGCATCCTGTAGCTGTTTGACAAGCATTATTTATCAAGTACAGAGGAAATTGATTAACTGTGGAGCAGAATTGTGTAAAATTGAATTCAGAACCATTTTCTGTTTTATAATAGTAAAATGATTACTGAAAGAATTCCATCTGAAGACTGTTGAAAGCTGGCTGCAGTTTATGATATAACGGATAAAATCTGCATCCTTGGCCTTCCAACAACCTTTACACCAGCAGATGGTGGGCGTAAAGATGTCATTCATCATTTATTTACAATGGGCTTTATTTATTCTAGTGTCAACAGCTGCCCCAGGGAGCGGGTTATTGAATGCAAATGTGAAGCTCTGGGTTATTTGCTTCCTTTCAAATTTGTCTTCAGAGCTTAGTTGCTAGGAGTCCATTCTGTGCTCTAATAATGATTCATGTATTGTGAAGCCATTCAGTAAATTGGATTGTCAGGGATTGCCAAAAAAGGTTTAGAGGTCTTGTTCTGATTTTTTTTTTTTATTTTTTAAACAGCACAGTGCTGTAGTTGGTGTCCTCTCCTTATGTGCCTTCTCTTGCTAGTGTTAGAGACTTTGTCCCCAGTTGTCCCCTCTTTGATTTCCCTTCCATACCCCTTCTTGTCCCCATCCTCAGAAAAGTAGAATTCTATGATTCTGTGATTTTTAAATTTGTGGTTTTAAGCATCAAAAAATTAATTTCACATGAAATAATTAAACTTTGTCTTCTCCAGGCAGGGCAGGAGTCCTTCCGTTCCATTACAAGGTCATACTACAGAGGGGCAGCAGGGGCTTTACTAGTGTATGACATTACAAGGTGAGAGTACCAAAGAGGTATAAGTGGGTTAAAGTTATATGTCTTTGTAGAGTTGTGTTATGGTATATAGCAGTGATTAAATGTCTGCATTTGGCTTGTTTTATAGATATTTGCAATCTAATGTTTTGCCAACTTTCCTTAAGTACTCAAAATCAAGATGTAGCTGATGTAACCCATATACTTCCGATTTTCTCTGTATAGTAGTCAAGGAAAAAGCATACATAAAGTCTGAGGAACAAGGAAACAAAATATTTTTATAAACTGTTTGACCATGAACCTCTGGATTACCTTTATTGAGAAAGACCTTAAAATATTTCATTAATTGCTTTCTAGTGGTTTTTATTACCATGAGCTAGAATTTGTCTTTAGTTATAGCAGGTTTTCTACTGAAGTGCCATTCTGCAAAGGAGTGAAATAGTAAAACATCAAAGTTTAGTTACATAAAAATACTAAAACTCCCCCCATTGCTGTGTTTATGAGGTTGGGAAAATACAGGCCTTAGTCACTTCTGAACAGCTATTATAACACTACGGTTTTCCTGCTGTCTTGAATAAAGTCTCTGTACAGCTTGTTATCTGCAAGACTGGGTCCTGTGGCTGGTTTCTGAAAATGTTCCTATTAGGATGTGTGGCTCCCTTTGTGGATGTTGGGTCTCATTGCTGAACTAAGTAGCAACTTTCACTAGAGATTTCCTAGATCTTTTTCCTTTTGTTCCCCATTTATTTTTAAATATCAGGAAGCAACATATTCTTTCCATTGGATCTCCAGCCAATGAATCTTTGATTCATAAATAGATGGTTTTACTCTTGTGAAATCTTAAACACACTTTAGAAGCATGTGATTTAATCTTTAGCATGCACATTCTGTAAAATCTATATCATGCCATATTTGTGTACCTTTACTGGAAAAGACTTTGCTGCTAAATTCATTATTCAGTTTATAAATTCGCAAAAAATTGCCAGCCATTTTCTGCCTTCGGTCGAACAAATATTACTATATGAGTTTGTAAGTTTTTTGTACTATTGTTTGAATTGGTTGGGGCTGTTACAGACTTCTAAAATTCCATTCAGCAGATTTTATATGTATATAAAATTACAGATTCTTACACCTATAAGAATCCTCTTTACTCTTTGTAGCAAACATGTTTTCAATTACTTTTTAGGCAAAGTTCATTAATGCACCTTGTTTACTAAATTTTTGTTCGCCTATTCTCACAAAGGGATTACTAGCTTTTATCCCTGGAGCATGTGGACTAATAAATGATTTGATTACTCAAGTAGAGAAGCTGACTAAAGGAATTCTTGAAGTAATGCTTTTAATTTTCATTCTCTTCCGTACTTAGGAGGGACACTTTCAACCACTTGACAACTTGGTTAGAAGATGCTCGTCAGCATTCCAATTCCAACATGGTTATAATGCTTATTGGAAATAAAAGGTAAAATTGAACCAGTTCTGATTTTGTAAGTGGTAAAGACTTATGACTTCTCTGGATTTCAGCTTTTGTGTTTTCTTATTTGTGGGCAGTATGTTAATATTAGATTACTTTTGGTCACTAGACATAGTTCTGTGGTGAATCTAAAACCTTGCCTTTCCTGATTGGCATAATACAGTGTGCAGCACATGTCCATCAACTACCTTATGTTCTGAGTACCTTTTTTAGAAGTAATTTTATTTTAAAAGGATTGAGTGAATGTGTGAAGTCATGGATTATATGAATTATTTTTCTCATTTTTCACCTGTAGCTCTCCCTTACAAAGAGAATGTGACTCCTAATTTTAGGTGTTCTGAAGTGCTTTAGGTTTTGGTTAAGAATCACAGCAGAGAAAATGTAATTAAAAAATAAAAGCCTGTACTACAGGATTCACTTAAACCTTTTCTCAAATTTAAAAAGTGCTTGCCTCAATTATGAGACTTTTATGAATTCTAAGTCTGCTTCACGTTCCATATCTTTTAACTGTGGTTGTGGGCAAAGAACACTTTTTCACCATTTCCTGATGAATTCAGGCTTCTCTAAGATACTGGACGATGAAAATTCAACTGAAAGTTTTGGAAGTGTGTTACCCAGTTTGTAAATGAATATTTATCTGGTCATTAGCTAGAGTGTCCTGTTGATGCTGAGACTTTGATCTGTATTAAGGTCTTTATAAAAACACAGCAGTTAATACATTGTTTATCTGTAATTTTTCTAGTTCTTGATCCAGTGAACTGTAGCATCATGTCTAGATTTTTTTTTTTACTGGATGTAGGGTTTTTCCAAATATCAAGTCATCATCTCAGAATTTAATAACCCATTAGTTACGGCTCTTTGCCTTATTTACCTTAACTGGTCTCCATGCCTCAGCAATTCTTACAGGTAAAGGTGCCAGCTGAAGTAGTGGTGTCTATGCTTGTCCCTTACAATTTAATGAACAGCCAGATCATTTCTTAAATATTACTGAGAGACAGCCTTGTGGTACAGAGTCTGGTTTTGCTTCTCTGGACAGTTCACCTCATATTTTCTTCTTCCTCCTTCTTCCTTCTTTTTTCTTCCCTCTCCTCCCCACCCTCTACCTCCTCCTGAAAAACATGTTAAGCATTAAGCAATTGTTAAACTTGTCCACATTGAGATACATAATCTGGAAAATTACTAACAACATTCTTTTTAAGTGAGGAATGTGATAAGCATAGTCCTCACAAATTAATATAAAATGTAATCTCTTCTGTTAAACAAAGCTTTGGTAAGCCTGTGATGTCCTTGACCAACTGTTTTTATGGTTATGTGAGTAAAAATATGGTGCTGAGAGAAACAGTCAAGTGTCCTGCTTACCTGAGATAAGTATTAAGTAAGTTTGAATACTTAGCTGACATCTGTAATTATTCCTGATTGTTCTTTGCTGTTAAATGAAATTTTTAGGTCTTGCATTCCGCTGATGCAGACTATAGCACATGATTGTATGTTATGATACACTGTTTGCAACTAGCTCAGTAATTCCCAGTTACAACGAGGTTTTATTCAAACAATAAATATACTTAAATTATGTATTTTAAGTTACAGATTAAGGTGCCACATGAAGTAAAAGTTCTTAAAGAAGCTTTTTAAAGGGGATTATTTTCAAGCCTTAAAGAGGAGAATGGGAAGAAAACTCCTTCAGTTGTATTGCATTATCCTGAAAGTGTGTTACAGGAGTTCTTATGGTAGGGCATACTGCTAGAGATGGATGGAAGGAAGAATGCGTATACTGGCATAATATTTTTAAAGGAATAAATTTTGTTCTTATGAGTCCCAAAAGTGCACTTGATATATGTTTGTAGTACTGACTTATTGCTGGATTTGAAGAGTGTTGAGAATTTAATCTGGAATATTATAGCTGTTTTTTGAAAACATTACAAATACTAGTGTTAAAACATGACAAATACTGTACTTAATCTTCTTTCCAGAACAAAACATAGCTATATTGCTCTAGTAAGACCAAATGCTTCGAATTATTGGAATGGAGAGAGGAAGACAACCGTGGTTAGTAGAAGCAGTTAAAGCTCTTGTAAGAATGAGTTTAGATATCAGTACTGAGTTTTGACTGGGTTATCACTGCACTTTTCAATGCAGCTGCACTATTTCAAGTTGAGAGAGTTGTTTATTTCTGTTCTATCTTGGAGATAACACTCTAGTGAACCAAGGTTTTAAATAAGATATTTTTAAGGGTAGCATGGTAGTAGCAAATAAAGACATTGCTCAAGTTCAAAAACACAACGTCAGATAGCTGCTTCAGGGACATGAGAATGAACACCTTGTTAAGATATCTTAAGCCTGAGGCTGAGATATTGGGAACGCTTATATATAATGAACATGAACTTTGAAATTGTTTTGAGAAGACATTTCTTGTATCTTTATCTTCAAATGCTCCATGTTTAAGTGATGTGCTGAATTGTCTTGACTCTGTAGCTCATCTGAGCTAGCATGTAGTTGTAAAAAATGACAAAAACCTGCTTTGCTGCAAAATAGGTGCCACAGTGAGTATTGCTTATTTTTAATGCAATTACAGGGATGGCAGCACTGAAGCCCAGTATGATATTTTTTACTAGTATTCTGGCTACAAATTAAACCTCTGTATTTGCATGCTGTTTAGTTTAAAAATGTGTATCTGAGAAGATATTTTTACCTGCACAACTTAAATTAAATTTTATTTAAATACGTTATATTCATTAATGTGTAAATGTCACGTTGTTATTGCTCAAGATGTCATACACTTAAACAGAAGGGCAAGCTGCGTACTTCTTGTTCCTAAAGAGGCTTTAAAAAACAAGAGTGAAATACTTGTGTCTATATGACTTATAGAAGTGGATTTGTGTTTAGTTGTCCAGTCCAAGAGGGGTTTTTTTCTGTTCTTTTGTGTAATATTTAAATTTAATCTAAACTGCTTGGAAAGCAGAAAACAAGGAGTTGTGTAACAGTCACTTCAAATTCTTCTGCTTAGGCCTGGAATTTCAAAGCCTAAATGCTAGCTTATTGGGAGAGAACAGCTAATGTAGTTCAGAATAACTTATTTTTGCTTTTAAGTCTTTTTATCAGAACAGAAATTGACTGCATGAAGTTTTGTTACCAAATAGAAGAAAATGAACTGTATTTTTTAAATTATTTTAAATATCATTAAGAAATAATTTCTGAAACTCCCTTATCAGTTCAGCTTTACAGTGTGGATTGGTAGATAACATTATACCAGAAAAGAGTGATATTTACCTAAAATGACAATGTCTAAAGGTAGCATTCAAGGAATAGCTAGATAAACATACACACATCCTTCTGAAAGCCATTTCATTAAGTTTTTAGATCCATGTCAGCTAGGATTGACAGCTCAAGCAAGTGTGATGTGTGTGGCTATTCCATGTACTGTACGTGCAAGGGTTACAGTAGTTCTGCTTTAGGTAGGGGCTTGAATAGATAGATAGTGCTTGAGTAGACCTAAGTCCTAATGGGGGCACTTGGCTTATAAGCATGTCTATGAACAATAATATTTACATGGACAGGTTAGATCATGCAACTAATTTTTTTTTTTTTCATCTTAGCGATTTAGAATCTAGACGAGAAGTCAAGAAAGAGGAAGGTGAAGCATTTGCACGAGAGCATGGACTTATCTTTATGGAGACATCTGCCAAAACTGCTTCCAATGTAGAAGAGGTAACGTTGCTGAACAGCGATATTTTAGTAAAGCAGTTGTTTTGAATTGCACTTTGTTATTTGTACAGATACTCTTCCTCTAGCTTTTGGATTTCCTAACTTGAATTAACTGCTCTTTATATGATGAGAAAGACAATGTCTATGTTGTGTCTCATTGCACAGCACTAATTATATTGTTGAGACTCTAGTAATTAATATACTTGGGGTTTTATTTAAATATTTGTTCAGAGAAATGGGTACTTCTGTCTGCCCTGAAATCTAAAAAGTAAGACTAGAATAGGTTTGCTAGTACAAAGCAAGCCAAGCTGTTGGTATCCTTGGCAGATGTCAGTCTAACCTGTTCTAAAGACCTGCAGCGTTTCCCAAGATCTTCAGAGCAATCTATTGCAGTGCTTTGGTTGTAATCTTTCCCCTGCGCTACCTATCAGGAATCTTCTTTGCTGCAATTCATGCACACAATTTCTTTTTCTGTCCTCTGCAGAGCTGCTGAAGAGGTCATTAGTCTGCTATGTATTTGAATAAATTTTTCAATCTTTGCTATTTAAAGAACTTCAGTCTTTTTAAGTTTTGCTTGTAGTTCATACTTCAGAACATGCATGAGCTCTTAATGAATCTCACCTTGACTTATTGCAAGCCTTGTTTGTAGTGTGGTTGTGGTGGCTTGACCTTAGCCACCAACTAAGTGCCCATCTGATTGCTTGCTCAAGGCCCCCTGTCCAGCGGTATGGGGGAAAGAACCAGAAGACCCAAAGCAAAAAAAAAAACAAAAACAAAAAAAAAAAACACAGGGGTTAATATAAAGAGTTTAATAAAAGAAGAAAAGAGCTGGGGGGAAGAGTGGTGGAAGGCAGTCACAACTTCCCACAGATGGATTGATTACAAGCCAATCTCTGAGCAACAACTACTTTGGAAAGACTATCCTTTGTTATTTATTGTTGAGTATAATGTCATATAACATGAAATATCCCTTGGGCCAGTTCTGGTCAGCTATCCTGGCTGTGTCTGCCCACACCCCCCATTTTGCCTACCCTAAGCCTAATCACTGCTAGGGGCAGAGTAAGAAACAGCAAACCTTGCCACTGTGTAAGCACTGCTCAGCAGTAGTCACAACGTTGATGTGTTATCAGCGCTGTTTTAGTCATAAATCCAAAACACAGCACCATACAGGCTGCTGTAAAGAAAGCTGTCTCCATCCTAGCCAGGCACGGTACAGTGGTGGACAGCGAGCTCCAGCTGAGATGTTAGTGCTCTGTAAAGCAGAAAGATCGCTTCACGTCTTCCAGGCCCATACTGAGTTCATAGATTCCCACTCACTAACCTTTTTTTATAATAGCATGATGTAGTTCAGCTTCTCATCCTACATCACCTGCCCTTCCTCTCTTCCAAAATTGTCCTAAATGCACAATGATGGACAACCAATGTGGTATTATTTTAGTGGTAAAGCTTTCTAGTTTTGAAATATTTAGTATTTTTTGAAAAGTTATAGTAAGAGTAACAAACAGCTTTCCCTGGCTTCATTCTGGTTTGTTACTGCCTGAGTCTAACATGAGCACCTCTCACCGTGTCAAATAACATGTGCTAGTGAATGAGTTGTTCAGTACTGAACGCATCTCTGTTTATCAGGAGGAAAATGAGCATCAAGTTCTTTGTCAAAAAAGTTCAAATAGAATCCTCTCCTTCTGGTGATACAAGTGAGTGACTGCGTGCATGTACTAACTTTCTCATTCCGATGGAAAAGCATTAGGATACAATCCTTTCTAGTGACAATCAAATGCATTCCTTAAATGGAGTTCTCAGTCAACACTGAGAGGTGGCATGATCTAGAATAGTTACAGCTGAAGGAGCAACATCTTAATCTTTGGGCCAGGAAAAATACGTGTGAGAAATAGGAGGCATGGCAGGTGGAAGATACCACTTTGTGGACAGAAGAGAACATTTTCATTTTAATGCTCAATCTGGACTGTTTTGGAGATGTTCAGTAGTGTACACTCCAAGCATGACTGTTGGCTTTCTCCCAGCAGAACGCATGGTTAAATTTGACCTGAAACATTGAACTTGTTTTTAATTCATGGTAAAAGGAATCTAGTGTTAACTTTTAGAAACTTGGCTATATCTGTTCTGCTTTTTTGAGTTGTGGAGGAGGAATGTGCCCTCTGCAGTACTCTTTGCAGAATTCAATGTCGCTGATGTATTTTTCTTTCTAGGAGAGCACTGTGATGACTTGTCTGTAGGCTTTTCACCTGTATGCACCTAAGGCTGAGGTCTAAACCCCAGGCATGTTTGCACTTGTTGTAATCATAACATCAGTTACTTTCCGACCTTGCATTAAAACTATATATAATACTTTTTTTTTTCTCTCACTTGCAAGAGACATTAACAATTTTATCACATTTGTTTTTTCATTGGTAGTTCAACAACAGCATGTGACTGTTTATTGTGGTCTTATCTGAAACACACAGCTCAGAGCTTGCTGAGTGCTTTCTGCTTGGGCAGTGTCTCACTTTGGAGAGGCAGAATAGAATAGCCTGCACAAACTGAGTGACTGTGCAGTCTCCTACAGCACACGGTACTTATCTTTTTGTACCATGAAATATCATTTGTGTGAATGTTTTGAAGAAGTAAAGAGACCTAGCTGTATTTGGGAAGCTGGGATAACTTTTTACATTCTTCTTGCACTCTGGACTGCTACTTTTAATAATGATTAATGTGATCAACCTTAAGCAGAAGAGTTTTCTGGATACTGGTCAAACCCGTACTACACACCATCACTGTTCAGAAGCTGATCTCACTTGAGTTGCACTAGCGTATCACTGACTCCTGGCGTGGGAGTTGGTTTTAGTAAGTTGTTTCCCATATGGAGGGGATTATATAGCCCTATGCCAAGCTTTCATCTTAAGAGTATTGTCTGTGTTATTCGAAGTTGTCTGCACATAAATAGAATGCAATAATGGAGTCATTATTTAGGATTAAATCTGAATGGACTAATGGTTTTGACTGAGCAATGGAGCACTTCTGCTACATGTTGCTGGATGGTCATTGAATGGTTTTGCTTCAGCTGTAACTTGATTTCCTCTTCAAGCAGCTTTTTCCATACTTTTGCTTGAATGGATAATGAATATTCAAAATCTCTATCTTCAACAGCAGTACTACTCAGTCACAGATAAGGGAAGGAAGATGGCCTTTGGAATATTCTGAAGGGTAAAAATGAAAATCTCATGGAAAGATGATATTCTTAGCAGCTTCAAAATTGGAACTGATTTTTAGAAGTGGTTTTTCTTTCCCCTCCATACCCTCTGTAAACACAACTAATTGCTGGTAAACAAACGGTTGTTTGACCTGGTAATATAGGTAACAGGGATTTAGTTAATAAAATGTGAAAATTTTAGGAAGTTAATAGTTTTCATAGTAAAGTGACACACAAGATGTAATCTGGCTAGAACTTGCAGAAGAGAGGATTTCTAGTTCATGAGAACCTTTAAAAAAAACCCCAACAGTAGGACTATCTGAACTGGTATCAAAACCAGTATTCCTTCAAGTTCCTTGAAATCCAAGTTCTGTGACCTTCCAGGCGTGTGAAGCTGGTACTTCAGCCAGTTTTTCCCATGAGGAAATAAGAGAGGAAAAGCTCATGTCAGTTCTGCTGTGGGAGAGAGAAGGGGCAGGACCCCAGGATCCAGTGAAAATTCAGAGCTTTTACCTGCTTGTGGCAAACCCTTGGACTGTGCCCCAGCTGCACAGTAAGGAACACTGGCTCCGCCACGGCGCTTGGGGCTTCTGGGCATCCTGAGGTATAATCAGAATAAAAGGTCTCAGTTAACTGAGGAGGATTTCAGACTTTATAGAAGAGCATGAGAAGTATGAATGGCTGCCTGTGTGAGCTGTAGGTTCTGCTGAAGAGATAGATCCTTAGTTCTGGGGGGTTTTTAAATTTTTTTTTTCTGCAAGTGCTCTGTCCTTGTAACTGTTCCGCAGCGGCTGCAGGCCTGTTTGGGACACTTTGAGCTTTAGTGCTGTGCATCTTCCCGGTAACTTTGTCAGAAAGATTACGCTTCAGTGGGTACATATAAACAAATTGCTGCCAAGTTCTGGTTTGGGACTGTGTGCCTGTACTTCAAAATTAAGGCTACAGATGGGTTGGGGTGCTGCTGCTTCATTATGTAGCACCTTCCTTCTGCTTGATAATTAACCCCTCTGTAGCCCCTGTAGTGTCCTAGGCTTCTTTCTGAAGGATCATTTAGTTGTAAAAAGTATTGTCTCAGTGTGCATAAAACATCTGCTTAGAGCTTTGGGATCTTACTCTGTGAAGTGGCCATCCAGTGCCATTTACACACGGAGACGGTGAATGCTCTAGGGACAAATCCACTTGTGGTCCGGGGGGTTACTATTTCCAGGTGCATTCTTTAATACTAGAGTCATCTAACTGGATTGTATCTTACTGCTTAGAGATAAGATGGGGATTTGGGAAGGAGGAAGAAGCTCTAGGTGTCGGCTGACCACAGAGGTGAGGGTCATGCTTTAGAATCTGTGAGATATTTAACCTGTAAGCATTCCTCATTTCATTGTAAGAAAGAATTCAGAAATGATGACTGCCCAGCTTGTATTTCAAGCTTTGCTGTTGCCACCAGAGGGCAGCATACCACACGAGCTGGCAGCGCAGAGCATGATTTCTTCTAATTTTAAGCAAAGATGAACTTGTAAAATCTGAGTTTTGAAAAGTATTGGTGATTCATTTACAAGTTTTTCCTGTTATGTTCAGCTTGGAGCTAAGTCCTCAAGTGCTCCTCGTGGCCTTAGCTTTTTAAGAAAGAGAAGTGACGTTACTGACATCTATCGAGTGAAAACTAAAAGTAGCTGTTCTGTATCTAATTATGATGCCCTTAGCTTATTATAACTCCTACATACAACTTGCAGAGGTACAACTCCATAAGTCAGGAGCTCATTCCCTCATTTCCTGCATTGTTTTTACCAGTTATAGAATTCATTCTTCCTGGTTTTGTCTCAATGGTAGTAAACCTACATTATTGCTTTACTTTGTGTGATAAAATGGACATCAGAGTTGATTTAATTCAGTGTTTTTAGGATTAATTTTTCTTAAATGCACCATTTGTACTGTTTGGGGTTTTTGTGGGGTTTTGGTTATTGGGGTGGTTTTTTTGAGGTGACAATTAAGAGATGATTTTTTTTTATTCCCATGTAGTAATATGATTTAGGAAACTCCTTTACACCAGTCGTCTGCAGTGATATTATACCGGTGTATTGTGACTCAAAACCCTCCTCTGTTAGCTTTGCTGTAGGTGCAGGTGTGACAACAACAAGCAGATCACTTCTTACAAGACTTGCTTTCCCACTTGTACAGTAATGTAATTTTCCTCCGCAGGGTATCCCTGTTATTTGAGAACCTAGTTACAATGTAAACACAACTGAAAAAACTTATTCAGTAACTTGTTTTAATAGAATATCTTGTATACAACCCTTTTAATGTCATGGTACAGGCACATTCAATAGTCTCAACCATAAAAGTATCAGTAATTTCTGATGTAGATTAAAACCAAGAGTTGAACATTAAATGTAGACATTTTCTGGATGTTACATTCTTTTCTTTAATGTTCATGAAATGTGGTCTAGAATTCTTATATTTGGAAGTCTAACATACTGTTTTTGCAAAAGTCTGTCTCTTTTCTGAGTCATAGAGGTACAGTGTACTAGGGCCTTGCCAGCTTTCAGGTTACTGAGTGTAAATTCGGATTTAATCTGTTACTGTCTCTCCTGGGGTGGGGAAAATAAACCTGAACCTGAGCTGATTTGGGGTGGAAGTGCTCAAGTATCTTTGTGTGGTGCTTTAGTAACGGATGGGAATGCAGAGTGCAACCACAGTAGGCTTGGTAGGCAGCCAGCAGAGCCCACCTGGGCTTACTGGTGGAGGTACCGTGTTGTGTGGAAGTGGGTAAATGGCACCTGGATCCAAGTTGGTGGGTGAGGTGCAACAGCTGTGTTCTTGCAGTCCCCTGCACGTGCTCTAATAAATCCAAGCTGGGTTTGAGGGGAAACCACTCTGTCCGCATCCGTGGCTCAGTTAATATAGGAAAAACCACCCATAAATAACGGAGAGTTTATAGCATACTGCCTGCTCTAGATAAGAGTTAGAACAGAGAGTGTAAGAAGAGATTTTTAGAATAAGTCAATTATACCAAGTTCACCTACTTGTCCTTGCTAATTGGGGCACTAGCATGCAATGCCAAAATCAGATATGATATTCTTAAAGCGAGTAGAGTGCTGTTTTCAGGAAAAGTTCTCAGGTGGTTATTCTGAGTCCACCTACGCTTTGAAGCATAAGCTAAGTCAAAAATACATGGATGCAAGAAACAAATGGAAGTCCCAAGGGATGGAAGTGTCTTTTCACAGCTGATTAGTAGTAATTTTTCAGAATCCATCCCAACTGAAGAAAACATGAGGTAGATTTATTATGTGCTATGTTCTTCTAAAACCATTGTTTTCAAATAGGAATAATTTCTATGTGACCTAGCGCAGCCTGGCGTTTGGCCATGCAGAGTGACAGGACGTGCTGGTGTGACACTCGTATGTGCTACACCAGAATCACGGGTGGAAATGTGCTGGTCAGATTATGTCTTTACAAGGAGAGAACTGAGGTGAAGGGAATATATGGGTTTTTCAGATCAGCAGTTTCTTAGGCAATATGCTTAGCATTAAAACAGACTGTACTGAGCTCGGTATGCTTTTTTGCTTTGTACAGTCTATGTGTAATAACTATGTTGGGGGGGTTGAATGCTGTTAAATCACACTCTGTTTCCAGGGCATTTTACTATTTTTTTGCAAGGATAGATCTGTTACTGCTTAAGTGTAGCATCCAGAAGATATTTTATACTCAGATGTGTTTAGTTTGGAGTTTATAGTCTGTTAAAACTGTGTTTTTGTTGCTCTGAAGCAATTTTTATAGATCTAATGTAATTCTCATGAAATTAATTCTAAGAGCCCAGGCGTACTTAGCCAGCATTTTCTAGAACTGTTGGAAGTGCCAGTTGTTAAGTGCTTGTTTACATGAAGTTATCATAACACATTGCTAAGACTTCAAGTTCTGGTTAATGTCCTACTGAAACAGAAGCAAGCATCCTCACAGATTCCAGCTGTGTGAATTTCCTAAGTTTTTGACTTGTACCTTTCAGTAGGCTCACGTATGAGACCGTTACAATAATGAGTGTGTCATCAGAAACCAAGATAAGTTTGATTTTTTTTTTTCTTCTTACATTGAAAACTTCAATTTCTGCAGAATTTGAATCAATTCATAGTTGGCCAAAAGCCAGTTTTTCTCCTCAACTCTAACACGCGTTTGAAAAACGAACTCGCTTCCTAAGTGCCTTGTGAATCTGCAATGATTAATTCTTCTCATTATTTTGCTGCAAATTCTCATGACCCTCTGCGATGATTCGATCACCCACTTAGAGTTTATGCATATTCATATCTTTCCGCTCCTGCTGCAGCCGTTCAAGTCTCCTTCGCTGGCTGTGATGTGTGCTTGGTGCAGTAATTGAGCTGCAGTAGATTGATTACTCCGGGGAGCTGTAAGGCCTTTAAAGGTGAAAACATATCAGTCCTGTTAATTAGGAAACAAAGCTCTGGTGGCAAGTTCAGCAGTCAAATGCTTCCAGTGTAGAAATGAGGAAAGGTATGATTTGTTCCTCTCCATGAACCCTGTTTACTTTTTTATATTTGAATTAGGTCTGTATTTGCTGTAATAGGCTGGTGCAGAAGATAGCGTATCTTGTGTTATTGCATGGTGGTGGTATTTTAGAAGGAAAAGAACTAGATGTTTGATATCGGTTGTAGTTATTAGCTGCTGTTACCTCTTAAATTATACATGATTTTAGGTATTACTTGACCTAGAAAGTTAAATGAGAGATGAAAAATGGAATAATGAATTGTAAACTTTAACCAAAAACATCTATATTATTCACTTTTTTCAGACCAGAATGTCAGTCTCTTCTCTGAATTAAAACAAGAGATTTTCAGAAATCATCATAAAACCTTGGCCTTGCCTTTCTGCTGTTAGGATGTCTATTGCCTATCGTGTGCAAGATTAATTAAAGAGAATACATTCTTAAAATTAGGTGAATATTAAATGATAGCATAAGGTTTCATCCAGCAGACAGCGTCCTTACATCATCATTGTAAGTACCCTGTGGTTTTATGTTGCTAAGCACTCTAATCTAGAGTGGCCTATTACAAAGATATTAAGGGTAGGGGAAACCATCTGCCACACAGTCTATCCATAAGGGTCAGAAATAAATAATTTAAAAGTAATTTATGTATCTTAAAAACCACTTTTTCCCTGTAATTACTGGACAACAGATTGTAGAATACAGATGTTATGAAAATGCCACTTTTTTTTCTAAACAGCCTGTGATCCATTGCTGCTTCAGGATAGGTTATAGGATGCTGCTGTCATATCTGCTGAGGTCAGGAGGAAAAGTCTCCCTGAAACAACTGCATGTGAGATTGGACTCCAGTTAGTGCATCTGGCACCAAAGGATGTTGCATTCATTGTGTTTGGGTTTTTTTCAGGCATTTATTAACACTGCAAAGGAGATCTACGAGAAGATCCAGGAAGGAGTTTTTGACATTAATAATGAGGTAACTTTTAGTACTCTGAACACTTTTTGTTTGGTTGGTTTTTAAATGTAAAAAATTTGCCTTCCCTAGAAGGCTGGACAGTAAAATTTGTTCTATTTGGATATAGAATTGTCTGCCATTGTGATAAAGATGGATTAAAATAAGTGACCCTATCCATCCATGAGGCATCACAAAATAATATAAATCCCCAAAAGAGAAGAAAATCTACTTTCATCCACTTCTCCATATGGTGTCATCTGTTTTCAAAGATAATTTTCCACTATGTAAATGGGGGACCATGTTGATATGCCAGATGCACTCCATGAGCTGCCCAGTATAGGGGAGAGATTGCTTTGAGAGTTACATAAAAGACTTTTGAAATGTTCCTGGGTTAGGTGGCTGGATTCCATAGGGAATAAAAGATTAGCCATTTTGCCTATGCACATTACTGAAATTACAGATTATCGGGGCCTGGCTCTTGGCTTGTTTGGGGTGGGGGTGGGGAGGTGGAGCAGGGAGCACTTTTGCAATGCAGGAGCCTAGAAAGACCTGTAATGTCTCTCTGGAATTTTGAAACAATTGTGCTGTTGAAAATCTTGAGCAGTTAGAGAGGGTCACAGCCCCAGGAAAAGCAGATTCAAATTCAGCGGCAGTGAGCAGAAATACTGGGATTGCATAAGCTCTCAGTGAACATTTACATTAAATGTCACGCCACACAAAGTTTAAACTTGACAATGTGAAGTAGTCTTTCTGCTTCATATATTTCAACATGAGAACATTTAGACTATTAGAAGTATTGCTTTTATGAGGAAATAATGAGAAGCTTCCATAGTATGTAAAATATTTGCGTTAGGAAACTTGCAGCTGAATCAGACTCGAATAGTAACCCCTCAAAGACACTCGTTCTGCCAGGAAAACGTGTTTGTGAGTATATATGGTGTTTTGGTGAAACACTTTTAAAATTCAGTTTAGTGATGAGAAACTTTTAATTTTTCTTTAAATCTTTTCCTAAAGAAAATGCACTCAGTAGTGCAGTCTAAACCAGACAATGATCAGAGTGTCTGGAAAAGCATGCTCCTTGTCTCTGCTGAGTTTCGCAGAGTAGCTGCCTGCCGTCCTGTGCTTTACAAAGCTCTGACTGCAGTATGCTGTCAGGAGCCAACAGTCCGTGCTATTTATTTGGCTTTATGCCAAGTCTGGCTCCTTGATTCCTCAAGAAGTTGCTATCAGCCCAGAGGGGGCAAAACCAATGAGCCATAGGGCATGCTTTTTATTAAAGAGGAGTCAAAGAGCGAAAAGAAACCACATCAGCTGCTGTCAATACTGAGCTAGTGCCAGAAACCCCAAGGCTACTACTGTTGCAGAACAACTGCCAAGCACTATAAATCTGAGATTTACTGTGACGCAAAGTTTCCTTAAGAGCTTAATTTCTGAAGCTACTGTATTACTTTGAGAAAAGTGCTGTATTTTTAGGTAAAATCCACTTGAGGGAGTGAGGGTTAAGATATAAGTGTGATTTTGATGAATGAAAGAGCTCCGCTGTGTGTGGGTTCTTGGCAAGGAGCCATGACTTTGGGGATCATAGAAATTATTGATGACATAGAACGCTCGTATGCCCTTAGCCTCTGCAGCTGATTCAACACAGAAAGAAATGCTGTCTGGAGAGGAAAAGTTTTATACTAAACTAATGGAGATTTTGGTGAGAGGGGAGAGGTTATGTGTTTCTAGCAAATGTTGTGTATTTTTAAGGCCTTATGCGAAGTAGTATTCAAATACAATTCTTACTCTGTGTTTTAAGCTACAGGGTTTAACAGAGAGATAAAATTGTAATGAGAAGGAAAGCATCTTCCTTTGTATTTAAACACTAAGGACATGTTGCTAAAAAATATAAACTTTGCTATATTTATTGCATACATTAGAACATGGTATGTGATCTTCAAAAAAAAAAAAGCTTTTCAAGTATATTAGTGTTCTAAAATAATTACACTGTGTATTAAACTTCATTTCAGGCAAATGGCATAAAAATTGGCCCTCAACATGCTGCTACTAATGCGACACTTGCAGGCAATCAGGGAGGACAACAAGCTGGAGGAGGCTGCTGTTGAGCCTGTTTTTACTTTCTAGCTGCCTGGATGGGGCCCTACTAACTTGTTTGTTCACCTTCCCCCCCGCCCCGCTCGCCTCCACTTCAGTTCAACTGAGACATGAAACTTGTAAGTTGGTTTCCTGTTGCAGAAGAAGACTTTATCCTTCAAATTCTTGTATAACTTTGAATAAATGGTTAATGTTCACTTCAAGACAGATTTTGGAGATTGTATTCATATCTATTTACATTTGATTTCTAGGTCAATTGATGTGATTATTTTTGTTAAATGTTGTCTTGTGCCCTTGACTACGAACTGAATTGTATGAAACACTACGAAGTCATCTGAGTATTTTAATCAGTTTGTGTAGTTAGGTTTCCCAGTTCCTGCAGTTACCTAATGTTTAATATTGTAGAGCTGTCCTCAAGTTTTTTGTCAATTTTCAAGGCTATAAAGAGAAGCAGAAGGACTCTTTTAATTCTGTATTTATCACTTTCTGTATATATAGTTTAATAACCTGCTTGGGTGTACTTGCCAAGCTAGAATTCTTTAATGCATTTGCATAAATTCTATACTACTTAGAGCTTGAAAACTACAGAAGCATTAATAGAAATTGCTTGGACGCTAAATTTTAAGCCTTTTTGACATTGTTAGCATGTTCATCCTCCCCTGTCATTATCCTGAAGTCCAAGAGAAATGCTTAATGTATATTACCAGAGGCTACATACGTGCTATCTATTTTAATGCCAAATGTTTGCTGTTTGTCCACAATTTCCACAGCACCTCTTCAGAAATGGATTAGCTGTTTGCCTTAACGAATACTATAGGTAAAAACAGAGTATGAAGGAAAGGTAGAGGAGGAGTTGATCAATTTAAAATGGCACATTATAAAAACATTAATCTTTTAATGTTTTTTTTTTTCTTGTTTACCACTTGATTTCTAGGTATATTTTTCATGCAAGGACAGTTTTTCAACCTAAATGTACAGTGGTTGTGTAAAGTTTTCTTTCAGTGACAACTTGTAATCCTAAATATATGGTAAGCATCTTGTCTATTGTGAAGAGGGTGTGAAAATAAAATCTGCCAGTTTGGAAATCATGATGAAAATCAAAACTAGAAATGCTTTGGTACTTCTTACAGTGGTGGTCGGGGGGTGATGTTTTGCCTCAAATGAAAGGGTTGCAACAGTACAAAACAAAATCCTGTTTTTAAGTGTTTCTTTGTTCAAGTATAGAATATTCATGTCACTTTTCCTACAAATGAGGAAACAACTGCGTTTCCACCTCATGCTTTTTGTATAAATTGTAGATAAAAGGGTGCCACTAATGCTAGGCCATGCTTCATGTATCAAAAAAAGGGGGGAGGAGGGAAAGTGACTGCAAAACTTCTGTCTCACTGGACCAGTCCTTGACTGCAACACAGCCCTGGGGGACATGGATCCTCCTGTCATCCACTCTTGTTGTCAGAACTTTTAACGTCGGAAGTGACTAAACTTCAGCCTGACAGGTGTAACACAGCAGTGGTTCTGAGATTAAATAAAGTTTAAAAAGCATGTGGAACCTTTTGTTTGTATCTGGGGGAAGGTTTTACAACTTCGGTTGCCAGCTTCCAATCTTCCATACACATTCAGGAGCATTAGAAACAATGCAATATAATTGTTTCAGCTGTTTCAGTTCTTAAGAGGGTACTGCCTGTACATACTCTCAACTGTTAACTGCTTATTGTATCATGTTTGCATTTATAAAATACAAACAGTGTTTCAGCTGGAGTCTGAAAATTGTGTCGCGTTACAGTAAAGCCACAGGACTGAACTGCACTGATGCTGAGGAGAAACCGCCTTGTAGTAACGAGATGCTCACAAGCAGGGTTGAGCGAACAAGAACACTTGGTTGAAGATTTTTTGAGACTGGCAATATTGTAGAAATCAATTGCTTGAGACAAGAGGAGAGGAAAGTATGCTCTTCTCTAGCATCCTCAGCTACATTACAAATGGGAGTGAATTTCCCTTAGACAGAAAAACTGCCCGTTAAGGCAGCAGAGGAGGGTACCCTAGCCTGAGAAGAACAAAAATTCATGTTGTTTTAAGTGGTGATGGTTTACGAAGCTAAAGTTTCTGATAGCCACTCATTTTCTAAAAGCACAGAAGCTGTCTAGAATTGACCAGGATCTAGGGCTATTACAGCCAAGAGCCACCAGCACTTTTTTGGGGGGTGAAAGGCACGAGGAATGTGACTCTAATACTGTGTATTATATAAAAATATGCTACTTTCAAGCTAGAGCTAGAGCAAAACCGAAGTTTCCTTCCATTCTGCCTGGCTTTTTGTCACAGGTTTGTGCATATGTAATCATTCGGTTACCAATTAGAAATCTGTATTTTTGTTGGTTTTTGAGAAGCCCCTGATCCTATTTTATCCTACTAGAATTTGAAAATGACACAGCACAGAACCTAACAGTGGGGTTTACTCCCAAAGCATGTGCTTCACAAAGTTATTCTTCCACAGGTGTCAGTTTTCCTTGCATGACCGATAACTTGCCTAGCTTTCAAGTTGAATTCCAGTTGCTTGTAGTGGTTTCATTTTCATAACCGAACAATTAAAACATTTCACTATTCCCCAGGAACTTGTACAGCCGTTACCCATAATGCAAGACTACTCTAAACACTTGACAAATCCTACCATGGTGCAGTTTCCCTGTGCTCCCAGTTTGGCATATGGGCTAACCCTTGTTAACTTACAAAAGAGTCGATGTGGAGTGACAAATCCTCTAAGCAGGATTTTAAGACTTGTCTCTCTTATTTCTACTAAAAATGAGAAGCTCCAGGAATGTTGTCAGGCATTTAAGATGAACACTCTCCCTCTGTCTTACACCTGTGTGTTTCTGTTGCCTTCATTCCCTCTGTGAGATCGGACTCCGCAGTGACGGAGGGGAAATGCCTGCCCAACCCTTGCTGACAGCTCCGATGACAAGCAGCTCTCTGACGCACCTCGCAGGCAGCGAGCGCACCATCCCCTGCTCCAGAGATGTCTCCTTTCTGCTCTCTTACACTTTTTGTGACATTTAGTTCATGGTGGTGTTGAGTAGCTGAAGAGCCTTCAACACTAAAGGGCACAGATAGGTTGTAGGGTAAATGGCATACACTGAAGTTGGGAAAGTTATTTCTGCCTCAAGAGCTTACCTGGGACTGTTGGAGCACTAAATGTGTTCTTGGGAAGGAAGGAAAAGCTCTGATCAGGCTCTAAGTTACAGTTAAACTGAATACAAGTGAAAAAATATATTAAAAAACATATTAAAAAACTTAGAAATATCAGAAGGCAATTTTTTGGCATTAAAGGACTTTTTTTTTTTTTTTTAAGTCATCATTCTAAATGAGGGCACCACCCTGTGCCTGTGTTTTTCTCCAAGTTGTTACCAGTAGGGTATTGCTGTATAAATGCTGAATTCCTCTCGATGGACTATTCTTCTGACACTACTGATTGTCCCCCAGTTTTCTTCTTAGTTGTGGTTTTTTTTTTTCTCCTAGATCAAGTATGTATTGTCTCCTTTTCGTCTTGTCTGCTCTGGCGTTCTTTCATTCCAACTCCATCCAGCGAGGAAAGCGCTGCTCTCCCATCTTTACTGCTCCACCTCCATTACACCTACGCGTAAGGGACTTTGTCCAACACGGGGCATTGGCTTGGGGGTGGCAGAGGTGGGCAGGGTGAGAGCAGGGTGTCCTGTGCTGCTGCACGGGGGAAGTCCTGCACGGGTTCTGGCACTCGTTACACGTCTTTGTGCTGGTTTGGGGGGGGGGGGATATAATTTGCCTGTTCCTCTTCCTCTATTGCATGGGAGGGGAGGGGGAAGACTAACAGGTTTTATTTGGATACCTTCATAAATTTGTTTGCTGATATCATACCTAATGATTTGTATACACTTCATGTTCCCCCGCCCCCCCCCCCCCCACCCTTTTCCCCGGGCTCTCCAGCTCTTTTCCTGCCACATTACTGCAATGTAACTTGAACAGCGTGCAGTGGTGATTTATTTTAATGCGGTACTGAAATCTCCGTTTGTAAATAATCCAGGCTGCTGCTGTGTAAGTAGTTGATGAAATGTCTTTACTGGGTCTGCTGCCTATGAAAGAAACCACAACATTAGGCAATAAAAACTACTAACAGAATGTTACAAAACCAAGACCGTGACAAAAAAGCAGCATGCTGTGGATCTATCATTTTTATTCTTGGGACAGATTTTATTATTTTTGGAACTATTACAAGACTTATGTTAAATATTGTGGATGATAAGAGGAAACAGACTCTTGGCAAACATGGAAAACCAATTATAGCACATTACCCTATTCCCCTTCCAATAAAGGAGGGGCGAAGCTCAAAGTTTATTCTTTGCTTAGCAGCTGGAGGAGGACGAGGGGAAAAAAAAACCCGTTCCTGCCTTAGGATTGGCTTGAGGAAGGAGATCGTTGCTGCACCAATTTCACTGCAGGCAATCCAAGCAGGAGAAGGCAAAACCAGCATGCTCTGCAGTCAGATTCACCCCAGTCTAAAGCAGTAGATTAGCACGGGAATTCTGAGTAAAGAAAAAAACTATGCTATCAAGTGTGCTGCTCACTTAAAAATAATTTCTTAAAAATTGTGCTTGGTTGCAAGCCTTCAATACTGCAGATGTCCCTGTTGTGGCGATTTCTCTTGTTTTGGCAAATGAACATGTATCTGATACTCAGACACGGGATTTAACTGCTGCATCCCATGGCTCTGTGTGATGCAGAAGTGAAGTAAGGTGTAGGGAGAATCTCCTCGGAGGTTTGTTCAGAGGTCAGCCGGCTCCACTGTCTGCACACCCCTTTGAACGCCTGTCCCAAATCACCGTTCTCGTACAGTTGTCCGTGGCACCATGAATGCAGATGAATCAGTGCATCAACATGTTTGGGGTTTGTTTTTCCCTCCCACAGCATAGCTCTAATTTTTAAAATTCCTTCTTTAAAGAGTCAGAGATAGAAATGTTTATATTGGGCAGAATGTTGTTGATAGGTGGGCCTGGGGTACATTTGGTGTAAATTACAGCAGGACCTAATCAGCCTTTCTTACAGTGCACTGGGCTTCGCTTCAGGATCAGACTAACTGGAAACTGATTGTTTGCTTTTCCTAGCCTTAGACATGAAATACTGGGGTGCAGGAAAATCCTTACGTGAGAGGACAGCTCAAAGAGACCAGGGCACAACGGGAACCGCTGTCCATTGAACATCCTCAGAATAGTCAAGTGAGCAGTACGTTGTCTGACTGGCGCTTGGGAAAACATTTTCAGATGCAGGAAATGGTTGAAATAATGTGACTTAAAAGACAGTTAAATGACGAGGGTACTCAGGAACACACAGACCCCTGGGGTTGCTTGCTGTCTCCCAGGAAAATGATGCAGGGAGAGGACAGTGGTTCAGCGAGTGTCACCCAGCAGCTGAGCGCTGCCGCCTGCGCCTGGGAAGGTGTTGCTGCTCCAGAACAGCACGAGGCTGCCTGGGAGGAAGGAATTTTCAATTTGGACACCCTATTGGCAATGCTAGGACCGGAGCTGAGGCAGCTTCCAGACTTCGAAGACACTTACCTGTGGTTTAAGGAGGAGAGATGGGAACGGGAACAGCAGCAGAGGGCGTGGGGCAAATTCACTTGGCAGGTGCTGGCTCAAAAACACCCGAGTCCACACACATCACCTGCCTGGGATTGTTGTATACAAATGCAGCAAAGCTTTGTCTTGAACATAGCTGAATTGGGATTTTTTTCCCCATTTTTTTTATCGCAGTTGAATTTGTGAGGATGACTGGACCTCACTCATGGGTTGCTGGTAAACATCCTTAAGATGGAGAATATCAGAACAAAAAAGAATTTGCGTTTCTGGTGTCCTTGAGAGTCAACCCAGCCGCTTTTAAGCAAAGCATGACTGACTGACCGACACTAACTGGTCACCGGTGAGGGTCTGGCAGCCAGCAGTGATGTGCCAAAATCCAGCGGCTGGGCTGTGCTGCTGCTCCTTGCCTCGTGTGGTTCAACCCTGATCTCAGAAGGAAAACGCTCCTGCACAGAAACGAAAGCTCTTGCGGTGTCTCCCGTAACTGTTGCTATGAAGCAGAA